CTCCACTCATGAAATGCCTACCATGTGTATGAGTGGAGAATGTCTGGTAAGGTTTGGTGTCCATCATTAAGCCATGGTAGACTAGGTATCAGGGACAGGGCATTCTCAGTGGTGACCCTGCATTTGTGGAATTCACTTGCCTGTCCATGCAGCTCATGCAACTCCATCATTATTGATTTTTAAATTTTGATCTGCCTTTTATTAATAACAGTTCTGTGAAATATGTTAGAACTGTCTGCATGTATATATTTTAAGAACGTTGACTTTGTATTTGGACAATTGTTTTATCATGTTCTATTTATGCGTTGTATTTTGTTCCGTTTATTGTTTGCAACACCAGTTTGTGAGGGCTTTCAGTGCTGAAAAGTGAATTAGAAATCTGCTAACAAACTAGCCAACTTTCTGTGTACCCCCCCCCCCCACTCTTGGTGGCAGGTTCCAGAGTGGGTTGGGGCTTGTACCAGATGCCCGCAGTGGACATCCCCCCTTCCATGCTGGGCTAAGCCGTCTCCTTGCCACTGCCACCACTGCCCATTTGCTCTGCTTCTTCCTCTGGGTCCAATCTGCACCACTGCGTGAGAGTGCAGGGTGAAACCACATGCAAGCAGCTGCAGCTCCTACTGCTTCTGCTTCTTCTCACGGCTTGCACCAGCACCAGGGGACTCTTGAGGATCATCAGTGGGTCCCTCCACCCCCTGGCAGTAGTGCAGCTAGGGAGGAAACTTGGGGCCAATGCATAGGAACCCGTGCATAATTGTAAGCCGTCCTGAGATGCCATGCATAAGGGATGGCATATAAAAGTTTTAAATAAATAAATAAAACCCCCAAATAGTAACTCAGGGTGATGAGAGCAGCATAAGCAAACTCCATGGAATTCCTGTAATCACAGTGGTGCAATGACAGAATTCAGCTTAGAAACACTTAGAATTTACTGTTTTAAAGCAGGGTCAGCATACATTCTAACATGGAAGGGATGTAGAAGCAGGAAGAGGTTGCTAGGCATGCAATGGCCTTTGCAGAGTTAGCTGTATGTTGCCCAACTTAAATAATGTTGACGGTCATTTCAAGTCACCCAACACACACATCCTCGCATGACCAATAAGCACTGGTCCAGCGATTCCCCGGCTGCATCGCTGCCTGATCGCATCTGGGCCTCAGCGGCCACTGAGATTCTGACTGTGGCCAGTCTTTTTTCTCTAATTGTGATAACTTCTGCTCTGGGTCCCTGGTTGGAGAGAAAAGCGATACAAAGGGACAGGATGACAGAGTGAAGGATTTCGCATGCCTCACCTGTGCACTCATTCTTTTGCTTTATCTGATTTGAGGCAGTGTGGTGTTTACTGTGCTGCCACTATCACCATCCGGTTTGGTCCTCAATATCTTTCCCCTTTCACTGGTGCAGAGCAGCAAGGCTGCATTGACATCACTGGCATTCTAGGGCTGTCTGATGTCCTTTATGGAAAAGACAGCCGCCTCTGTTTTTCCTTTTTCTTTTAAAGTATTTACCCTTTCTGCAGAACCACACTGATTCGCTGAGCAGTAAAATCACCCTTTATTTCAGACTACAGCAGCTCCGAAGCATCCAGTATTTCTGAGAATTTCTTCCCCTAATCCTGCACAGCATTGTGAAGAGAAATTAAGATCGCTCTTTTTTTTCTTGTCTCATTAACAAGGTCTCCATGGTAATATATTTTGCCCACTCAAACAAGTTTTTCCATGGAAACCTCCCATCATTGAAAAACCCTCTCTTTACCCTACTTCATTTTAGGAGGAATCCAAACAGAAAGCTGCAAGAGAAGAGACGGCAACCAGGCCGGAGGAGTCAATTTTTTTCTCTTCAACACTAGCATGTTTTATCCAGATCTATGGCTGGTCCTAAACCTCAGTACATTTAATAACTTTTTATCTCATTCAGCCGAAGTTGTGAGACAGACCATTATAATCCCATTTGACAGAGAGAAACATAGTGATTTCACATGCCAGCTTAGTGTGCCGGGACATAGTGATTTTACATGCCAAATTGCAAGTCCCACAACCAAGCTGGGTTTCAGGTTTTGGGTTGAGACACTGCACTCTAGTACCTTCCGAAGGGCCACGGTCTGCCTGGTCTGGCTGGTTCAGCACTGCGTTTCCCACAGTGACCATCCAGAAAGTTCTGGGAAACCTGCAAGTCAGGTTTAAGCATATTAGCACTCTCCTGCTCATATTCCCCAGCATGCTGGCTTTGTGGGGCAAACCTGGAGGTAGTCTATTGCCATCGCAAACAGTAACTACTGACAACGTTATCCTTCATGAATGTGTCAGCCAAGACCTTCTCTGCATTCTGCAGTAACAACCACTATAATTAACTAAAACAGCAAAGGGCCTAGCAACACGAAAAAAACCCCTAGCAATTATTTTCTTGTCTTTTACTACTGCTACAAGACCCTTGAAGACCAACAATATTAAAATATTTTTAAATAATGCATAGTGTGAAGAAAGTGGAGAAGCAAAGATTTTTCTCTCTTTCCCATAATACTTGAACCTGGGGCCATCCCATGAAGCTGATTGGTGCAAGGTTTAGGACAGATGAAGGAAAGTCCTTCTTCACACAATGTTTAGTTAGTGGCTGCCATGGGAAGTGGAGATGGCCACCAAATTGGATGGCTTTAAAAGGGGATTGGACAGATTCATGAAGGAGGATGTTATCAGGGGCTACTGCCCTTGCTGGCTATGTGCTGCCTCTTTACCAGAGGTGGCTTGCCTGCATACACCAGTTGCTGAGGACCTTGGGCAGAAAGAGGGCTTGCACCCATCCTGCTTGAGGGATCCTGTGGGCAGTTGGCTTGCCATTGTGTGCACTGAGTGCCGGACTAGAAGGCCCTTTGGTCTGATCTGGCATGGCTTTATTTATGTTCTTATATTCTTAAAATCATTCAAGCAAAGCTTTCAGCTGCACAGCAATAGAGTGTCCCCAAACACTCATTCTGGAATGACTTTATTCATCTTCAAGGTGCTGCAAGACTCTTGTTTTCACAGGAACAGACTGCCAACAGGATCTCTCTGGAAACTAAGAACTGTCATTCAGCCACTTTACCCATTGGGGTACCAACAGACTCTTCAGCTCACTCTGCCGCACTTCAGATTAGTTTACGGATTTAGTGATCTCTTCTTCCAGGGAGAGACTGAGAACTTGAATGCAATGTGGGGTCTATGGATCCTGACCAGTGAATTCTTCACACCTTCACCAAATGTAATGTCCAACTTAGGTATGGCCTTAATTGCATTTTGGGACATGTCACGTCTCTTTCTGTTTGCAGCCATGCGGTTCCCACGCTAAAAGGGGATATCACTAAAAGGTGATACTTTTAACCTTTTCAGAAATTGCTGTTTTCTTACAGGAATTTCACTTCCTTCCCCTGTCCCTGCACTACATACTTCTGTTTGACCAACTTAAAAGCATAAGGCAAATTGCATGAATTTTTAAAAGCAGGGCAAATAGCAGCTTTGGGTGGAGGTAGACGCTATGCTACAGGAAGGGGGGTTGGGTTAGCCCTCCTCTGAGCTGGCATCCCAATCAGGGTCCCTGTGGCTGATTTTTAGAAGGAAAGAAGGACATGTGGCTGATCCCAAAAATGGTGATAAAAGAATATAATTCACGTAATATCTACTTTGGTCCCAGAATCCCGAAATCTCCCTGGGAGAAGCCATTATGGCTAAAGTGGCATAAAACCATCATGAATTTGTTTGTTTTTATTTCCATTTATAGCCTATCTTTTTTCCTTTCAAGGAACTCAAAACAGCTTACACAGTTCAATCCTCGTCTCAATCTCCTCTCAGCCTACCTCTGTGAAGTAGGTTGGGCTGAAAGTCTGTGACTGGCCCAAAGACCTCCAGTGAGCTCCATGGGTGAACAGGGACTAGAACCCAGATTGCCTGAGTCACAGGCCTACACTCTTAACCACTACATCACACTGGCTTTCAATTAGGTATTTGAGTTTGCAGCTTAGATAGACCTTGGCTGGATCTATACCAGACCCCACTCTTGTCAATTCTGCCTTCCTTTCCTTTCCTAACCCCAAGCTCCACCACCAAAACCAGGTTGATTGGTTTGTTTCTTACCATTAAAAACAGTCTACCTTGAGCACATTCTTAGTTCAGGAACTTGCTTTCAGTGCCAGAACAGAACTAAGTGTGTAATAACAGAACTTAGGTCATCCCAAGAAACTGAATGCTGGGAGATGTGGGTCAGCTAGAAGGAAATACTTCACACAGTGCCTAGTTAAACAACAGGATTTGCTGCCACAAAATGTGGTAATGGCCACCAACTTAGGCAGTTGCAAAACATTAGACAATTGCCTGGGGTCTGTCAGTGTCCAGTCCACTCCAGGTCACCCAGAGATCTGCCTTCTGCTCATTCCTGACCATTACAAACTGATATCAATTTTATGACAGATTAATCATAATGGCGTTTCTCAAAGAATCTGGAAGCTTATAGGCTGTCATACACTTGCTTCTGCTCTTGGCTATGTATATTATTTCCTTGGCTGGAAGCAAAGGTTTGTGGGAAGTAATGCTCATAGCAAAACACTTTCCTGCATCATTTATAGGAATGTTCTTTATCTGTTTAGATCACTGGTAGAAGTACTTTGCATGCCAAAGGTTCCAAATTGTAAGCCGCCCCGAGGTTTCGGCAAGGGGCGGCATAGAAATGTTATAATAATAATAATAATAATAATAATAATAATAATAATAATAATAAAAATTCAGCCCCCGGTATCTCCAGGTAGTCTTGGGAAAAAACTCCTGAAGCACTAGAAAACTGCTGCCAGTCAGTGCTGACACTACCGGGCTTGATGGACCAAGGGTCTGACTCAGTATGAAGCAGCTTTGTTTATGTTTATGAAGCACGAACAGTCGCAGACATCTCCACAAAGGAACTGCTCTTCAGGTGACTCTGGGCAGCAGAGGGAGCTCTATGCTGCAGGCTGAAGCACGTGGGAAAGGTTACACACCCACAGCCGTCCTTCCATGTGGCTCCCCGATTCACAGATTCCCTGCTGTGCTGTGCGTTTCAGGGAGAGCTTCACTCATCCACCACATCCTCTGGCTGCAGCTAGCTATTCAGATGCAGTCCTTTTAGGCACTCATAGCAGGACAGGAGAGGGCCAGCAAGGCAGAGCAGATGGTGCATTCTTATCCCTATCCAGCAGGCAATTCTGCTGTGTTCCAAGTTCACACAGGTCCATTATGCACAGCATTCGCTCCTTAGCTGGCCAGAGCCTTCAGCTGATCTGATTCCCCACTGCTGCTGTGGTGGAAGTCAATGCAGCTGGCTTGGCTTCCGTTCCTTGAAAAGCTCTCCTTGTGTTCTGGAGATGTTGACAGACAGACAGACAGTTCAGAGACAGAGCATTCTCAGGAGGGATGTGGTCACCCACACATACAGCCGTGTGGGATTCAGGTGGCAAAAGGAGATGCCCGGTTAAGCTATGTCAGCAGAGGATCCCCACGCCCATAATGGCAAGAGATTGGTTCGCCCTTTCCCATTCTGTTACCCTCCAGATGGGTTGGACTACGAGTCCCAGCATTCCCCAGCCAGCACAAGACACAACTGCAAATGTCTTCTCCTTTGCATCCTCAAAGTGCCTAATACCCAAGACCAGCCAAGTTATTTTGACATTTGAGGTAGAAAATCCCACAAGTGCCTCTCTCCTTCATCGGCAGTAAAAATATAACATTAAAAAACCAAATCCATTGCAGTTGGCTGCCCTTTACTACACCCACAATGCCTGCTCTGATAGTTAGGGCTGACCCAACCTTGAGAGAAAATGCTTGGGACTCTGTGTCTGACTGGTCTTGTTTTGTTTTTAAAGCATGTATTTTCAGATGCTTGGGAGCAAAGATCAGTGTGAACATACATGAAGGCATCACATGCTCATGGGCTGAGAACAAAGCAGGATGGACTTCGTTGAAAAATAGAGTACACTTCATACAGTATGCAAAGTTTCTCTCCAGGAGAACTTCCTGACCGAAATCAGAACAGTTCCTGAAATCTTCAACTGTTTGGAACACCATTGTCTATTTTCTGTTCCTTTAAAATGGGTGTGACAATCAGAAATTCAAGAAGCGTCTCCCAGCATGGTGAATCATGGTGGTGGAGATACTTGTACTTGGTGGTTTTCTGCTTCACCTCTGCCTCTTAAAGGTACAGGTCTTCAGCCAAAAGAAGGGTGGTGATCTGAGGTGTAAGAGGTTTGATGGCGCTTGAAATATCCCCACTAGTTGATTTTTAACACAACAGTGGGAACCTGTGGCCCTCAGTGTTAATGAATGACTACTTTTTTGGCCATGCTTCAACAGTTGGATGATTTGGAGCAATTAGCAAGTGTAGTCATGTTTTCTCTTTGCTGTGAAACACTTGACTCACTCATTTCTGCACTCTGTTAAAGGCACAAGAGCAGGCCAGACATCTCCACCCTGAACTTGGCTATCAGAAGCCGGAATGCACTATTACCGCCGGGTAAGAATTTTTGCTGGCATGACCATTTCACCTCTTCTTTGTACACAAGAAAGCTTGCTTGGTTATTTTAAAAGTTGAGAGTATAATATTGCAAGCTTAATAGTAAAACAACAGCTTGAATGCGGCCTTTGAATTGTTGGGCCATTGGCACAGCTTCAACCTGGTATTTGATGAACTGAAGCACTGATTTTTTTTAATCTGCATATTATCTTCCTGAGTGTACTTCTGCATTTAGACTCCTACTCTGAGAATTGGCTATATTTCTATTCATTAATGGATGTGAACTTGTTTCAAAAAGTTTGCATTTCCCCTATACAAATAAGGCAGAGTTTTACCTAGTCTGTGTATAAGACTTTGGGTCTCTGATCAGGCTTAAAAACACTGTCTCTCTGTTACAGTACATTCCTATCCCACAAGGAATCCTGCCTGCATTTTTCCGAGGGCATATCAGTGTTCTGGGAAACCTGGGTTCCCATCTAAGGAAGAGGGTTTGGCTGCTTCAGCTCCTAAGACAGTTTTCCCCAGCCTGGCATCTTCCATGTTGACTGGACTACAAATCCCATAATCCCCCAGCCAGCTATATTGCCTGTAGGGACCACTCTGCCATTCCACAGCCTTGGTAAGTAACTAGGAGAGTTGTGCATAGGAAGCACTGAGGCGGCTGAGCGATGCAAAAGGATCAGTCCAAGCTGACGGCATATAGCGGCGGGGGGGGGGGGGGGAGCCACGTTCTCCTGCAGAGTGGGTGCAGGTGATGCAAGGGCAGCAGAAGAACCTCTTACCTCCATGAAGGGTACGATGCGACAGGAGATATCCCCCAGCAGCCTCTTCTTGGTGATCTCATTGAAGATTACCACTGGCAGGCAGAAGAAGAGGATGAGGAAGTCCCAGAAGGCCAGGCTGGCCAAGATGGAGTTCCAGGCACTTTTCATGTAGTAGTTATGCCAGACAATGCACATCACGGAAAGGTTCCCAATGATGCCCACAGCAAAGACAATGAGGGACAGGAACATGACAGCATAGGCACTGTAGGAGCTCTCTGTTACTGGGTACAGAGGGTTTTGGATCTGTGGGTGCTTCCCCAGGGCCACGGTCATATTTTCCAGGGGCTCTGTGCCCCCCTGCACCCCCGGGCTCCCTTGGCGGTGCTCCGAGGCATCTGTGCTGGATGGCACCAGGGCCTTGGTGGGCCGTAAGCTGGCAGGGTTCACAGGTCGGGGGTACTCCCCCTTCACTCCTGGACTGTACTGTTGGGCTGGCTTGGAACTGTTATCTTCTGTCCCCCTGCGCGCCCTTCTCCACCTCAGCCTGTCTTCCAAGAACGGCCGCCCCCTGTCACTGCCAACAGGTCCCAACCCCCTCGCCCAGCTGAGTTCTCCAAGTGCCTCCAGCGAAGCGTTTCTGGAGACAAAATGCCTTCTTAAGTGGCTCTCTCCTGTCTTTTCCTCCTTCCTGGAGGATGCTGAGTGTCCTGCAAGAAACGGGGCAGTGCCTTCCTTCACTGTAGACTCCAGAGGCTGCAGGAAAGCCAGCAACAGCACGGCGGTCCAAGTCAAAGGCATTCTTCTTCTTTTACAGAGGTCGCGGGAAAAAAGGCACAAAGAAGAAGGCGACTCACCAAGTGAGTGGAGATGGCACTGCAAGCTGTGAGCAAAGGGGACCTGGAGCGCGAAGAAGGCAGGGAGGACGCTATCCGGGAGCCAAGACACAGAGGCACTTCGGTCTGCTTCTGCCAGCTTCTCTCCTGTTCTGCATTCCCTCAGATCTTTGGGAAGGATAAAAACCCTTCTCCCCACTCATTCACTCCGGCCATCCTTTGTTGGGCCACAGGCCCCCTGGTGGCCGAACGACAATGGCTACCAGTGGCTACGGAAAAGATCAAAACCGCGGCGTTACTGGAGCTAGTCGGAACAGGCTGAATGGTAGAAAGCAGCCACCAGCCTCAGTAATAGACCCCGGTCGGTTTTGTTTCTTGGTGCAGTACAGCTGCGGGGAGCAAAGGAGGCTCGCTTTGGGGAGAAGCGGCACTGCGCCGATTTCTTCAGCCAAACGAACAACAGGCAAATTCATCACAGGCCGCTGTGCAGGACCTGCTGATGCCAACATGCTCAGACAGCATGCACTGCTGTTTAAGAAGTCTCTCCTTGCTTTTGCGTGATTTTATTATATTTCATTGGTTGCACCCTGTTTCAAGGATAATTTTGTAAATGAAAAGCAGGCCATGTACTTATTAATAAAATGCTTGAGCTAATGAAGAAATTAAAGCACAAATGTATGTGGACCAACAGTTGTATGACTTTTTCCACATAGCAGGCTGACTCTGTGTGTGAGTGTCAGCATGCATTTGTCCATGTGTGTATTTTTGTGCAAAGGGAGTGGCAATTCACACAACCAATTGTACCCCACATTTCTACCAAAGGAACATCCTGTTCAGAAAATGGCTGAGTCAAACGAGCAACATCATGAGAATGTGTTCATGTGCATTCTTTAGCACACATCCAGCTCTCTGCTTACCCACATTTACTGTGCCAATGCAAAGTTGACAAAAATGCGTTGAATGATACTGTAAATCTCAGTTGAATGCTATGTGTGATGTGGAGAAATAACACATCAGGCCTAGCAAGTGAATCTTTGTTAAGGCATAAACCAGGGGTGCCGGAACTCCTTCACGGTGACAGCCACATTCTACTTGGAAGAGTTCCTGGAGGTCACATTCTAATGGTGTCAGGGATAAGCGGAACAGGGACAGGGCAAAGAAGCCAAGAATACCAGCATATTTTCACTTAAACTTCTTACTACCAGTAACTAAGCATAAAGAGCAGCATTTCATTTCAACCTCTAAGACTCTGGAGCGGACTGCACAGAAGCTAAAAGGATGGGTGGAAATGAGGCATGACCCTCTGGAGAACCCCAGAAAAGGGCATTGGGCCCCAGGCCTGAGCTTCTACACCCCTAGCATAAGCTTTTGAAGATGAGAGCCTATTTCATCAGATGCATAAAGTGATAACTGCAGTTGATAGGCATATATACTTCCTGGAGAACAGTGAGGTCAGAGGAAAATAACATAGTATCAGTACAGACTGTGACAATTACATGGCTCCAGTGTTAGTAGGACAATGTCTCCATGCTGGATTTCATTCTGAATGTTAAAAGAAATGTCCATGCTGCAGTAGGGCACAGATAGCTCCTTAAAGGTTTGTACTAGACCCTGCAGCAAATATACCGCCCTACTGACATAGGAACAATCAGCCTCTGTGGAAAAATAGATGCAAATGCATTGTGTTGATCATGAACAAATCATGAGAACGCAAATATCCTGGCACTGATAAGCTAATTAACACATGTGATGAGATAAAAAAGGTTATCCTGATTCAGATCACAAGTCACAGAATCGAATAGCTTTTTGATGCAATTGAGCATTTTTACTCAGAAGAGTCCCTTTCCCATTCAAAAACTTCACAAGTCAGCACTGGAGAGGCATGGAAGTCTGCAAAGTTCTGTGACTGGTTTTCCTTGCCAGTGTAAGGGAAGTGAGAAGAAATAAATGAATCATAGGTGGGGCCACTGAGAATGCAAACTGCTCCACTCACTGAAAGCCAGTTCACCCAGCCATTCCCAGCTGTGACAGCTGCACATCCTGAGCCCGAGTGCCATGAACAGGGCAGGGTGTTTTAACACTGATGCCACATGCTAAATCAGCACGTACGGTCTTGGCACAATTGATCCCAAAGCTGTTTGCTAAACTTGCTTTCTGTCCACAGTATTAAGCCGAAACAATCTGCTGCTTCATCATTTATTTGTCTGTTTGTTTATTGTATGACTATGGAGTCCTCCTGAAGACATCCAAAATACTTTACAAATATTTCAGAAAATAAAAAAAAAAACATAATCAAATAAAGATTTAGAAGCAACCTTAAAAAGCCGCAATAACCATGGCAGTGCTTTTAAAAGCCAAGTGTAAAAGATGTGTCTTCAGACTTTCCCCCTGAATTCGGAGAGAATTGGGGCCAGTTGAACTCCAAAATGAGTTTGGCTGCAATACAGGGGAAACCCTTTCCCAGAGGCTCAACAAAGGGGGCTCTGTAAGCAAGTCTGACCTCAAAAGGGTGTCTGCTCAGCCTAACAATCCATGATGGAAAAGCTGTGCTGGATTTGGATGTCATGCTAAACCACCTATGGTCACCACCACCATGGATTAACCTGGCATGTGAACTTGTTCTATGAGTGCAGAAGGGAAGCCCCAAACCAAGCTTAGTCTGGGTAAGTGTTTTCATATTGGATTGCACCAGTCATGTCTTTTGCCCTAGGACTTCCAGAAAGTTTTGTTAGAAACAATTAAGTCCTGGTTAAGTGCTGGACTGGATCCAGTGGTTTGAGCCCTTCTCACAACATGGCAGCCATTGCTAAGGCAGGAGAGCTCCCTTAGCAGAGAACCATAGAAGTGCAGCTAGCAGGCCCTGATTTAACTGGAACAGAGAAATATGGTATCCTGGGGGAATAGAAAAGCCACTTATTGAGACCAGGGCCATTCTTTGTCACTCCAAAGAAAGGGAGCATCTTAACAGTGCCTTATAACAATGTTATCTCATTTAAATGTATAGGTTCATTACCATAAGCCTGTTTCTGCTCTGTTAATGAACAAAAAGCCAATCTGTCTCACTCATCACTCCAATATACAAGTGAAAGGAGATTTTCTTGGTCCTTTAACATTTTCCTTGGGAGGATACTTTCAGTCAAAGGGCCTCACACAGTCCTGGTGGGGGAAGTGATGCTTCATTTCTCTTGCTGTGCTTGCTGCTCGCCAGGCCACCTTGGAACCCTGGAGGAGCTCATGGGTTTCGAGCAGTTTTTTAGCTATAGTAAAATGCCACCCTAGCCAGGTCTTGATGTGACAGGAAGCTTTTTTCCCAAGTATAATTATGCTAATCCCCCCCCCCACACACACACACTTCCAGCATGCACAGTGGCTGATTAACCAGCCTGTGATCACAGAACACAGGTATTCTGTCTTTTCTTACTGATTTTTTGTGGAAAGAAAAAAGGTGGAAAATGTAGTTACGAGGAAGGCTTACAGAACAGAAGACAGTGACACCTGGATGCTCCATCAAATTTGCATGGTAAATGTCTCGTTCGGAAGCACTCAGCAAAGCTCAGTTCTTGAATTCAGTTCAAGTTCACAGTTCTGTTGGACTGCTCAGGAAACTACACTGGGAGCAACATTTTAAAAGTTAAAATAAGGAAAAGGCACAAAATGATGAATGAGAAAGGGGGAAAGCAACATGACTTCAGCCCTTGGCGATGCAAACTGGCAGGAAATAAGGTGGTTCTTCCACCTCAATTTCCCCTCTCCCTTTACCACAGCATTAGGGTAGCTAGCATTCAACTTTTCAAAAGAAGTTCTTCCACTTGAAGAGCTGTCAAGAGGACAGTCCTCTCTTGAAAGCATCCTCTATTTAATGGGCTAACCCAGGGGTCATCAACCTACGACTCCGGAGCCACATGTGGCTCCTTCATCCCTCTGCTGCAGCTCCCTGTCACTCAAAATATGCATCACAATCGCCCTTGTGCTACACCCACCGGCTTGCAGTTTATTGACCCCCAGTAGGCCAACCATGGATTAATCCAAGAAAAGAAAAGTTTCAGAAGAAAACAGAACATTTAATGGTACATGAGCAGATTCATTTGCTTTCACTGCTGATGAGATTGGTTTACCAGTCCGGTTTTTTTTAGGTAAAAAAACAATATATGCAGTGTTATCTTCACTTTAGATGTCAAAAGGGTTTTGTGGCTCCCGGTGTTTTCTTTTCTGTGGGAAACGAGTCCAAATGGCTCTTTGAGTGTTTAAGGTTGCCGACCCCTGGGATAACCAGTCCAAGACTACCTGGAAGTTGAAGAGCCTTAAGGAAGGAGTGCAGGGGCCTCAAAATTGCTTGGCAGTGGTTACTTCCTGGACAGCAGACTGAGCTGGCAGCTCTGTCTTCTTCACCATAGTGAGATGCATTGCATTTCTATTTAAATCACAGCTATTATTTCTAATTTTGCATTTATACATATGTATATATGCTTAATTTATATTTATGCAAATGGATCCTCTTTTTTGGTTTTGCTCTGCAATGCTCTGCCCAGTACCTAAGTTGGCAAATAGAACAAAAACAAGGGAAAAAACAAAACATTGACCATTAGCAATAAATAAACATTGACTATTAGCAAATGTTAACTATTCTAAAAGCTTCTGCAAACAGCAATATTGTTTAATATAACTGTTAAATACAACAGCATGACAAACCACACTCAGGGGCTGATTAGGTTGAGTATGGGTTGTTATTGTCAAAACCTGACTTATTGTGTAGTCTGAATGGAGCCGTGTGAAGAAAGCAAGGTTTGTTAACCATGAACAGCTCATGGTTCACAAGCCAACAGTAAACTATGGCTTCTCTTCATGGGTTGCTTGTGGTTTCCAAACCATGGTTTGTTTGCATAGCTGGATTCAGACAGCACAATAATCCATATTTCAACAACAATGTTGAACTCTGCTGTTGAACTCCAATTCTCATCATCTCTAGCCAATGGCTACATGCTGGCTGGGACTGATGCAAGCTGGTTAGCCACCCTGATTTGCAGTGTAAAGGTTCCAGAACATCACACTTTGTCACCGTGTGCTGGTTTGCCTGCCCAGGCTCTCTGCATGCACTTCGAACACAGACTTTCCGGCTTTTGTGGAAATACTTCTCAGATACAAGAGGTTCCTCAGAAATGCATACCCCAAGAACACAGGGTGATGAAACAAGAGGAGTGGAGCTAGCATGCCCCTCTCCTTGCTGGTTTATTATACCCAGAGGTAGAAGGCTGGAACTGGGCTCCCAACAAACCAGGTTTGGTGGCTGAAGAGTGCCACCTTCACCAAAAGACCAGCCTCAACATCTACAGCTGATTTGAGGCACTGCTGCACCAGACCCTGTAAAGCCCTGGCCCCAGAGCCTTCGCCTTCATCTGAGATCCTTGTCTTGAGAGTGAAAACCCTGTTTATCCATCTACTCCCTTTGATTCTGCCCTCTAACTGGTTCAGCAAGTGCCTGTGCCCTTTTGGCCATCTGCCTACCCTGGTGTCTTTCAGCACACCACTGGCTCCACCCTTCCCTTGAATTGACAGCCAGCTTCCTCCAACTCAGCAGACAATAGGCTAGAGCAGATTCCCTCCTGAGATAACTGTGAAAATCAGTGTTGATAAACTGAAGAAATTATGCTCTTGCAGAGGATTTATATCTTGTGCAGTGCTTGCAT